CGTGGGGCAGGTACCGGTACAATAGAACCACGGAGAGACTTCTTTATTTTAAGCAGAAGCGTGCGATTGCTCGCCGTGTCATCTGTGACGCTAAACGCACTTGCTGGCGAGATTGTCTCCACCATCACCTCTGCTTCCTCTATGAGTGCAGTCTGGAAAAAAGTACGAAAACTGAGTGGTAAATATTCTCCTGACCCGGCTCCAGTTCTGCGGGTTGCCAGTGTTGATATAGCAAACCCACTAGATGTTGCCAATGAAATTGGCAATCATCTCGTCCGTATTTCTCAGGGACTCCATCTATGCCCCTCGTTTCTTTCCTCAAAGTCTGCCAGAGAGTTAGCACCCTTGGACATTTCTTCTCTCAAAGAACAGTATAATGTGCCTTTTACACTTCAGGAACTGGAGGCAACACTCTCAGCTTGCCGATCATCGGCAGCTGGGCCCGATGACATTCATATTCGTATGCTACAACATTTACATCAGTCAGCCCTTGCAGTCCTATTACGCCTTTTCAATCTTATTTGGTCACAAGGAGTTCTTCCACAGCTGTGGAAATCTGCCATTGTTCTCCCTTTCCGCAAACCGGGTACTACGGGACATGAAGCCTCCCACTATTGTCGCATTGCTCTTACCAGTGCAGTTTGCAAAGTGCTGGAACGCCTGGTAAATAGACGTTTAGTGTGGTATTTAGAGACGCAGAACAGTCTCCCCACTCGTCAATATGGCTTTCGTAAGGGCCGTTCTACCATAGACCCCTTACTACGCTTGGATACGTATGTTCGTAATGCCTTTGCGAATAACCACTCAGTTATTGCCATATTTTTTGACCTTGAGAAGGCATATGACACAACTTGGAGGTATAATATTTTGGCCCAAGCTCACTCCTTAGGCCTTCAAGGCAATCTACCATCCTTCCTTAAGAACTTTTTAACTGAGACATTTCTGTGTTCGGGTTAATAATGTGCTCTCCCCGGACTTTACCCAAGCTGAAGGTGTCCCCCAGGGAGGTGTTCTGAGCACAACACTTTTTCTCCTTGCTATAAATGATTTGGCCTCTAGTCTTCCATCCAATATTTGGTCATCACTCTATGTTGATGACTTCGCTATTGCCTGTGCAGGCGCTGACTGTCATCTCATTACAGTTTCTCTCCAGCATGCGGTTGACCGTGTTTCCAATTGGGCCACCACACATGGGTTTAAATTTTCCAGTACCAAAACTCGCCAAATTACTTTCACTAGATGCTCTGTCATCTCTGATCATCCTTTATACCTCTGTGGCACACGTATCCCTGAACGTGATAGTCAGGTTTCTAGGCCTCCTCTTTAACTGTAGGTTATCCTGAAAACCTCACATTACCTCTCTGAAGACAACTTATCACAGCCAGCTGAACCTTCTTAAAACCCTTGCTCATCTTTCATGGGGAGCTGATCGTCGAACTCTCCTTCGCCTACATTCCACCCTCATTTTATCAAAACTTGACTATGGTGACCAGATCTATTCAGCTGCCTCTCCTGCTACTCTATCTAGCCTCAACCCTATTCATCACCAAGGATTACGTTTAGGCCTTGGTGCTTTTCACACTTCCCCTGTTGAGAGCCTCTATGCAGAAGCGAATGTTCCATCCTCCTCCGATCGCCGTGATGCCCATTGCCTTCACTACTATGTACGCTCTCATGATCTCCGCAATCCTTCCATTTATAGAATGGTCACCGATATTAGTAGACATTCTTTATTTGTTCGCCGCCCCTGTTTGATCCATCCCTTTTCTCTTCGCCTACATTCGCTCTTGTCTTCTCTTCAATTTCCACCTTTATATGTTCATGTAGCATCTCACTTTTCCCTACCCCCCTGGGAAGTTCCAGCTGTTTGAGTCTGTTCTTTCTCACTCCCTTGCTCGAAAGCCCAACTGTCTACAGTAGCTTCTCGCTCTCTTTTTCTTGACCACTTCCGCTCTCATTCTCATGCCATTGCAGTGTACACAGATTGCTCTAAGTCTTCTGACGGCGTAGGATTCGCAGCAGTGTTTCCGGACAGCGTCGTACGAGGGCATTTACTATCTTCGGCTAGTATCTTTACTGCTGAATTGTATGCCATTCTTGCAGCACTTATCCGTATTGCATCTATGCCTGTGTCATCAGTTGTGGTTGTCTCAGACTCCCTTAATGCTTTACAGGCTATACAGAAATTTGATACACCTCACCCTTTAGTCCTCTGTATCCAATTTTGGCTATGCCGCATCTCTACCAAGCATAAAGATTATGTTTTTTGTTGGGTCCCTGGTCATGTTGATGTACAGGGCAATGAACAGGCAGACACTGCTGCATGGTCAGCAGTACATGACCTACCAGTTTCATATAGAGGTGTTCCATTTACGGACTATTTTGCTGCAATAGCTAACCACCTTCACACCCGTTGGCAACAACGTTAGTCTACTCTACTCGGTAACAAACTTCAATCTATTAAACCGAGTATAGGTTATTGGCTGTCTTCTTGTCACCAGTGCCGAGGTTGGGAGACTACTCCTTCCTGTCTCCGCATTGGCCATACTCGTCTTACTCATGGATATCTCATGGAGAGGCGCCCTGCTCTTCTCTGTGAGAATTGTCAGGTTCCATTATCGGTCAGCCACATTCTGTTAGACTGCACACTTTATCAACGAGCACCCAGAATTTACCTCCGTCGTCGTCTTCGCTCCGCTGCTCTCTCTTTACCTTCCCTTCTCGCTGATGGACCCACCTTTCATCCGGACTCTCTCATTGACTTTTTGACAACAACTGACTTACTTCACAAACTCTGATGATACCTTCAGCCCTTTCTACCTCGATCTCTTGCTACCCTCTACCCTGCACTATCCCGCCCTGCTGTTTTCTGTAACCTACTGATCGCCCCTCCCCCCTTCTGCTGCCCAATACCCTCACTTCCTTTCCTACCCTGCAGCGCTGTATAGCCCTTGTGGCTTAGCGCTTCTTTTTGATTATAATAATAATAGAGTTGTCAGGGTCAGCCTCAGACCCTTCAAAATCTTTGTCCGGGAAACACATTCTGGCTTCAGTTTTCTCCAAGCAGAGTTCATTGCCCTGGAAGTCACTCCCTCCCAAGCCTTATCCATAAGGTTTATGCAGTGGAGGCTATTGAAGTGATCTTTCCAGAACTCTCTTAGGGTTAATTCAGAGTCCGAGGTGATGTTAAAGCACCTTTGAAACATTGCTTTGGTGTAGAGTTTTTTGAAGTTTGAAATGAACTGCTGGTCCATGGGCTGGAGGAGAGGAGTGGTTTTAGGGGGCAAGAACTTCATTTTGATGAAATCAAACTCCTTCACCATTTGCTCTTCCAAATCTGGAGGATGAGCAGGAGCATTGTCCATTACCAGGAGGCACTTGAGTTCCAATTTATTTTTCAGGAAGTATTTCTTCACGCTGGGGCCAAACACTTCATTGAACCAATTAAAGAAAATGTCCCTCATGACCCATGTCCTACTGTTAGCCTTCCACATCACAAATTTACTCTTGACAACACTGTTTTTCTTGAACACTCTGGGATTTTCAGAGTGATACACGAGTAAATGCTTCACTTTTAAATCCCCACTAGCATTACCACACATGAGAGTTAGCCTCTCTTTCATAGACTTGTCTCCTGGCAGTGCCTTTTCCTCCTGCGTGATGTAGGTCCTCTGTGGCATTTTCTTCCAAAAGAGGCCTGTTTCGTCACAATTGAACACTTGTTGGGGGATGAATTTTTCAGCCTCTACATAGTTTTTGAATTCACTTAGGAATTTTTCAGTCACATGTTTGTCTGAACTGGCAGCCTCACCATGCCTTACAACATTGTGTATGCCACTTCGCTAATTGAAATTTTCAAACCAGCCTTTGCTGGCCTTGAATTCACCTACATCAGCACTCATTCCAGGCCTTTTCTTTATGAGATTGTCATGCAACTGCCTTGCTTTTCACAAATTATCGACTGTGTAACACTATCTCCTACTAACTCTTTTTGTTTGATCTACACCAGCAACAACTTCTCAACATCTTCCATTATTTGCGATCTCTTTTTCATTAGCATATTCACACCTTTTGCAACATCAGCTTCCTTGATTTCCTTTTTCTTCGCCACGATGGAAGTGATGGTTGAATGGGCCTTCCTGTACATCCTGGAATGCTCTGCCACACACACTCCACCTTCATATTTTTCTATGATCTCTTTCTTTACTTCAGTTGTGTTTCTCACTTTCTTTACCAAAGGGCTGGCACTAGCTTTCTTTGGGCCTATGGAGGCTTATTTAGCAGTTGCAAACACTAAAACAAATTAAATATATTAAGAAATGTATCATATGAACGTGTGAAGTGATCGTCACTTGCCAAGATACAATGCCAGACTGACTCTGAATGGTGTTTGTGTGCCCACAGTGGCTGGGAGGCCATTCGGATGCGTTTCATACAACTGCCGATTTCTAAGCCAAATCACGAAAATCAAGCCAATATTTTGACAAAAAAAAAAAGTCGCCAATTTCCAAAATTCATGATATTCAAGGCGGGGGGGGGGGGGGCGAAATTAAAAGGTCCACTGTACAGTATAGTAATGCCAATTTGTACCGAATATCTAATTAAAAATAAAAAAATACCCTTTTTTGGATGTTTTAAAGCGGATGTAGCAAACAAAAGGATCTCAGGAATGCATCTCTGCGATTATGGGGGTTTCACTATTATAAAACGAGTCTCAAATATTTGTGTACCATTCTAGATTGTCAAAGTTACACATACAGTAGTGTATAAGTTTAACACTTTCCCATGAATGTAGCAAGATACATAGATTATAACAATATGAAAATTATTGTTCTATGCTTAGCATTGTGTATTATTTTGAGGATATAATCTTTCCAATTTTCTGGAAGAACATACTTTACCAAGATTCTGCATAATGCTAAACAAGAATTCCTACTACAGATAGCAAATGTCTCCAATAAACTGCATGCTTACAAATGACACATTAACCTGGCTCACAGCTCCGGGTGACGTGTTGGGCATTGGTAGAGACTTCAACGCCCTTCTGCAACTTCCCAGCCCAAATCTCCCTCAAGATTTCTCTACGGGCAGTGACTATGCAACAGAAGAAAGCAACAATCCAAGTGAAGAATATGCGCTTGACTATCCCGATTATGAAGCAGCTCAAAATATTCCAGGAAATGTTGATTACCATAGTAGTGGATTTAATCCAACAGCAGTAGACCTGTCTACAACAGAGACTGACCCTGTTGTGCCACATGACAATCCTTTGGCAAGTTTAGACAGCTCTGACTCAAATGTAAATTTCTCAGCAGACTATCCTACTGAAATTCCATCCTCAGCAGGCAGAAACACTGATCTTGAAGGAAAAGAGGGAACAGAAGATAATATCCAGACCGACACTGTCTCGGGAGAAACAGTAAATCCCACCAAGGGTTTGTCAGGATCCAATCAAAGTTTGTCTTCAGAGGGAGACTTTTCATCCATTACTACCCCTGAAATAATCTGTGATCATGAAAAGTTCCTATGTCATGATGGTTTAAACTGCTTAGTGCTGACTTCTGTGTGTGATGGTATGCAGCAGTGCCACGACGGCTCTGACGAATCAAATTGCACACATATTGGTGAGTCTCGGGATGTCATTGCATATTTCTCCCTCTCTCTCCAGGCTTCACAGTAACTTTATAGGATGGAAAAAACTGTATTTCAAGATGAAATTTCTTAAGAGGCATACACACTGCTTTTATCAGAATTCTTATGCTGTACAAAAATCTTTGTCACTTAAACTGAACTAAAAATATTATCCTTCCACATAAAATGTATATACAGGAGGACCCTGCATATACAGCTCCCACTTTTCAGTGTTTCACATTTTCATTGGCTTTCAAATGAACCATTGTTCATTATCCTAAGTGCTCTTACCACTTTTCCGCCATTTTCGTACAACAGCTGCGTAAGATAAGGATGAACGGCATCATATTTGAAGGTAAGTATTGTACGTACTGTGTATTTATTTTACTTTATCTTTTTATGTCTAGCTGTATTGAGCACTTAATGTATGATAGTGTAAACACATCTGGCATTTTAGAGGCATTCTATAGTGAAAAACCTGCTCTTATCCACCCGCTGGCGATTCTTGCTCATTGTTTTGGGTTGTGAACTTTAGGAGCCATACAGTCAGGGCCTGCCTGTATACAGGAGGGCCCTGCTTGTACAGCAGGTTAGGCTCCAGGCTACTGCTGTAAAATTAATTTTTTTTTTTCACTTCTAGAAAAATTAATATAAAAGCTTGATATGTTTACACTATCATATATTAAGCGAGCAATATAGCTAGGCCTAAAAAAGAGCATATACAGTACACACATTACTTACCTTAAAATATTTTCATCCTCAGCTTAGTGAATGGTGAATATATATATTGTGAGAAGTCTGAATAGATGAAGAATGGGTATAATTGAAAACCACTGTATTAGTGAAATGCCGTAAAACAGGGTCTGCCTGCATACACTATAACTTCAACAACCATGTCCCATCAAGGCAGTCATACTGCCTTGGTGGGAGACAGCCGATAAGGTAAAAAATAAATATGCATTAATATATGCTGTACATGGTAGAATTACTCAACATATTATGGACAAGACTAACATGACTGACTTCTTACCTTTGCAAAGTGGCAATTCTTGATATGACATTGCTTCTGAATAATAGTTTTTTAATACTGTCCACCATTTTTCAATTTAGTGAAATATTTTTTTTTTTTTTTTAGGAATAGCTCAGCACTTATTTCTTGAAAATGTGATTAAGAGATTGATCAATTATTCTTCAAACACTGCTGCACATGACAAGATTCATTAAGGCAATTTTGCATGTATGCAGAAATGATTGATGAATAAAATGACAATCACATTTCCTATATTTTGGTTTAAACCTCCCAGGAATTTGATATTAATGGTATACAGAACTGACAAGTTGCTGAATGACATGTGCAACACTTGGGTATCTTTATTGTAGAGATGTTTTGCCAACAAGTGGCTTTATCAGCCCAATACAGACTAAATACCAAAGATGGTGCAAGACATGCAGAGGTAATTTGAAGTGATCAATCCCTCAGCGTTTATTAATCAACGCTGAGAACATGAACACTCCCCATCAAGTTAAGAGACTCGTCACCTCTCATACCTCTTCCACGTCTCCAGCATTTATTCTCTTTTTCATTGATAAAGGCACTGAATGGTGAAAAATCTCTACACTAAAAATACCCAAGTGTTGCAGATGTTTTGTTCATTCCAGGAACTATCCCCTTAATCATTAATATGTATTGTAATACAGTACTTTTTGATATTTATAGTTATGACACTTGCATAAATTTTGTTTATAGCCTTTCATATATTTATAAACTGTTCACATCAAAATTATTTGCTTTATTTAAAGCTGTTACTAGGTTTCTAATTGAAATTTTATTACAAAAAGTTAAAGTAAATATATTATCACATAATTATCCATTCATAAATTTAAATTCTAGACATTAAACTGTCCTACTGAATTTAACTAGTCAAACATTTTTATTAATACTGAAATTAATTTCAATAAAATATTCATAATAAAATATCCTAGGATGCAACCACGGTGACTTCCGGTGTGCTACAACGGAGTTCTGTATCCCGGTGTCTTGGATGTGTGACGGTGCCGACGACTGCCATGACAACAGTGACGAGACCAACTGTGACACACAGCATCCATCAATGACACAGACTTCTCATAGTGGAGAACACCTTGAAACTCTGACATCCCTAGGACAGTTTCCACTCCCAGGTGGTGATTTTGAAGAGATTGTAGAAGACAGAAATGAATTTGACCAGTACAATAGTGCAGAATTACTCTCTGAAGGTTTCGCAGAGAGTGCAGTCACTGGCAATAACGTTAATTTGCCCCAGTCTAGAGATAAAACAAGAGAAATCTTTTCTCAGGATGCAAACCAGCAGGAACTTGTTCCTTCACAAGAAGCATTAGTTGGGGTGCCATCTGCTGTAGATAGTAATCTAGATCCTTCAAGTGACAAAGAACAATTACAGCTGTATTCTGGAGAGACTAACCTCCATCATCAGTTATCTGAGGAAGTATCAAACCAGCCTCATTTTAATGAACACCAAAAATTTAGGCAAGAAAGATTGAATTACAACTTTCAAACTGAACCCTCCAACTACCATGATGGCATTTCATCATCTAATCATCCTGTTTCTTACTCTGTAAACCCATTAAATACTGACAGTAATGACTATTCAAGTACATCCACTCAAGAAAAATTACAGATATTCTCTCATGAAAACTCTCAGTACTTGCCAGAAGAAGAGCCTGTACATGTTGATCACCAAGAAACACTGCCATTTCAGACATTCTCTAATGAAGGTCCCCTTTTGGAAACTCACAAACTTCACTCTAATGAACAGTCAATTAACAATGGCATCAAGGCATTTCAAGAAGAGCAATCATTACAGGAAACTTTCCAAACAAACCTTGAGCAACAACACATACAGCACATTCCTCAGTCTTCTCAGGAGCAAAAGGTCTCTGGCATTTCTCAAAATGACGATTTTCTTCAGCAAGATGATAAACTTTCCCTGAAATCTGAAAATTTTGGAGATTATCAACAAGTCTCAGATGTAAGAATTCCTAAAATTGTATTGCAAGATACACAGTCAAAGACAAATGAACCCCACTCTGTTAGTGAATTTTTGGTAGCAAAGACAGAGAGCCAGATTACAAATGAGGAGGTTTTGGAAGAAGGAAACATTAAACTAAAAGATATTGACATTTCAATGCCAATTACAAATTTTCCTGAAGAAAACAGAAAATCTGAAAGAATCAGAGGTACTACTCGCTTCTCCAATATTAACCGCCCCTTTTCCCGCAGACCCTCAGTCTCTCCCAAAAGCATCTCTCCTACATTTCCACCCGAGACTGAATCAAGTACATCTGGGAACTTCAGAACACGTTTTCAACAGTGGCGTTCTTCTCGTCTTCCATCTACACCCTCTTATGAATTGAGTCAAACTGGAGGCTTTAGAGAACGCCACCGTAACATTCCATCCATTTTTGATAAGCCTGTAATAGAAAAGGAAGAGGTAAAAGAAGAGGCAGCAAAAGAAGTTGAAGATAATGTTGGAAGTTCTTTAAGGTTACGAATCCCATCCCGTCATCCTGTAGCTTCTGCACGCATAACTCGCCTTCGCCCCACACTCAGGACTTCTAGAATATCTTCAAACACAAACTTAAACTTCTTTCCTCAAGAGGAGTTTCTCAAGGAAGGAATAAGTTATGATCATACTGCTGAAGTAGTATCAACAGACTCTGACAGTGAACCAGATTCATCGGATATTTCTCAAGCAATTGTTCAAGAACCTCTTCTGGCCTTTCCAACCCAGTCTTATGCCACTCATTCAGCTAAGAATGCCTACTATGGCATTCAGAATGATGGCACTGAGATTCAACAGACAGATGGGGATGCCTCAAACATATATGTACCCCATACAGAGCAAGAACACATCCCTAGTTCAGAGACTTCTGACTTCGAACATGGCACAGACTTACATTTGCTTCAATATGGCCAAGACTCCCCACAATTTGATTTATCAAAAAGTCATGCTCCATTATACCTTTCATATACCCCAAATTATTATTTACATGGTAACATGCAAAATTAAAGGAAAACTTACCATTGCTCACCACTTCCCATCAAGTATGTATAAGCTGTTCAGCGTACCGCTACTGGCTGCATGTTCAGTTCTTCATGCCTGTCCTTTCTTGACACTCGCAAAATATTGATTATAGAATAATATTGATAATATTTACAATATTAATATTTACTAACTGCATTTAGAAAATGTTGAATAGGTATCAAAAAATCACTCTTTGAAACTTACAGTAAGAATTTAAAAAGTATAGTTTTTTTGCCTTTAATCTTTCCTCCTACAGTTTATACACACACAGTCTTTACCACTTTTAAGTTGGAAAATTCCAAAATAGTGCAGTACTGTACCTAACAACTTGTTTCTCCTCCAGAGCTCGACATGACAGTACCATCTTCAGTTCCAACAGAAGCCCATACTTCTTTCTTCAATACTGATGATGAGAAAGTAATGACATCTGTACCAGAAGAAACAACTACAATTACACCACTGGAAGAAACTGATGCATCAATCACCCTACCTCCAGAAGTGTGCCCAGAATTGCAGTGTTTGGATGGCACTTGCCTTGCTCTCTCTCAGTTAAACAATGGAGTTAAAGACTGCTCAGATGGCACAGATGAAGAGGACTTTGATGAATTATTTGCTTAAAATTACAATACTGATTTTGTGACCTGAGGAGGCTGACAGATTTTTACAAAGCAAAGTATAAAGACAAGCATATTTTAGTTGGTATAAAAAAATTTGAGTTAAAAAAATAAATTATATTTTACACATCCCCATATAACACTGCTACCTCTTATGATTCTAACATAAGACAGATGTTAGTTACTATACTTCAAATAATATAATATATATTATATATATATATATTATATATATATATATATATATATATATATATATATTATATATATATATATGATAATAAAATTACTGAAAAAAAAACTGTTGGGCAAGTTTCAAATATGTACTGTACTCTTATACATTATAGGTAATTATTACTGTATGTCACATGTTTGCTCTGATGTACATAGTTGATCAAAGTTATTGGGGTTAATCAAGGATCCAACTTTTAGTTCTGAAAACAGTAAGAAATCTCCAGAAATAAAATCTGGTTAACCAGGTATAATACAAACCCATTAGTTTTAGCTGAGGAGACAGTCCATCCATTCTCGTGTTTAATCACTATTATGTGCATGATATAGTTTGTTAGGTTTAAAGCCTGTTGACTGCACGAGGGTCATCTAGGCTGCGAGCTATTTGTACACTAACATCGATTAATTGTAATCCCTAATATAGGGATTATGTAAACTCAGTGTACACACATTAAGGTACATACACCTCTCTCTATGGACTTTCCAATGACCATACTTCTAGCATATGCTGATACAATATTCAAAGTATGTACACCATTTCAAGTTGCAGACAAAGCTCAGCTGCTTGACTGAAATCATCCTTTTGTATATAGCTCAATTTCAACTACTGTACTTCAACTATTTCTTATTCTGAAAGAGATTCAGCATCACTGGTTGTATATCCATTAAGACTTCTTTAATACGTACACAGTACCACGTCACCAATTCCGTCCACTAAGATTATTTTGCTGCAGTATATGTAAATATGTGAAATGTATGAGTACACCATGACTCTGTTTGACAGTTGTGAAGGAAATTTGCTGGTTGCATTTTGGTTTTAGGAGTTATTTATTATATAGCAATATAAATTGTATATTGCTTCTAAATAGTTTCATAAAGTCAATCTTTGAAAATATTTTAAGAATCTTTATTTTAAGAATCTTAAGTATTAAGTAGAAATTATCAAGAATCATCATATCATTAACATCATTTTTTGTTTTTTTTTTTCCTTTTAGAAAGGGGTTTTTTAAATTCATATGTTTTTTTTAAAAATTTTAAAAAAAACTTAATTTTTCCCCACTTGGAATTTAATATTAAAATTAAAAAAATTTTTTTCCGGGGTTGCCCCTTTTGCATTAAAAAGGGGGGGGTTTTAATTGGGGAAAGGGGGGGGGGGTGAATGTTTTTTAAAAAAATGGGGGGGGAAAGGCAGGGTAAAGCAAAATTGGGTGAAAAAAAAGGGGACCGGGTTTGTGGGGAAAAGTATTTTAAAAAGAAATTTGAAGGCCCCGGATAAAGGTGGGTTTTAAAAGGGTTTTTTTTTAAAAAAGCAAGAAATAAAATATTTAAATTTCCGTTGTTTTAAATGGCATTTTTTAAAAAAAAAAATGTCTCCCATAAAACCCTTTAAAAAATTTTAAAGATTGGGGCCCTTAAAAAGAATTTTAAGTAAGTACCAATGCAGAGGGGTATTTTATTTTTAAAATAAATGGCCTTAACCAAAAATTAATCACAAAAAGGAGGCTCAATTAAATTATTTTCCCCAAACGAATTTTTTAAAATTTTTTAAAAAAAAAAAAAAATTAAAAAAAGGGCAAATACACCGGGGTGGGAAAAAACCGAGGGGAAAATTTTGGGCCAAAGGGGAAGAATATCAAAAAGATTAAAAAAAACCATGGGCAATTGTGCGGGAAGAAGGGGGTTTACCAAATTGGTTTTTAGAAAAGGGCTGGGGTTATCCCCCTTTTTTTTTAAATTAGCCCATTTTTAAAAATTTTTCAATTTTTGAGAAAAACCGGTAATAAAGGGTTGGGGTTTCCCTTTTAAGGGAAGGTGGAAAGGAAAAATTTTTTTACTTGGGGTTAAATTCTCCGGGGGTTTTTGAAAAATTTTTGGGCCAGTTTTAAAAATTTGATGCTTGGGGTTAACCTGAAAAAAACCCAGAAAAGAATTTCCAAAATAAATTTTCCATATTTAAAACAGAGGCCCAATTTTGGGGAAGCGGGAGATTATTTTGCCCTAAAAAATTTAAAAAAAGAACCAAAAAAAAGCCAAAAAAAAGGGGCAAAAAAATTGAAAGGGCAAAGGGGGAACGAGGGATAAAAGGGGAAACCCCAAAATGTGATAAAAGGGCATAAAAACCAAAAAGGGGGGAAAGGGAAAATCAAAAGAATGAACTAAAAAGGGCTGAGGGGAGTGCGAAAAAGAAATCAGAGTTTGTGGATTTAAATAGTCGTTGTAAGAAGTCAATGAGGGGAGTCGGAAATTAAAGGAGGGCCCATCAGCAAAAAGGGGAAAGGTAAGAGAGAGTGGGAAAAACGAAGACGACGTTGGGGGAAAAATTTTCTGCGGCTCGTTGATAGAGGGGGCAGTCTAACAGAATGGGCCCTAATGGGATACTGGAACTTGACACTGTCAGAGAGAGGAAACTTTTTGCCTCCCCCATGAGATACCCTTTGAGAAAGACGACCTGTGACCAATGCGAAGGGGGAGAGAGTGGTCCCCCAAAACCTGGGAAAACTGATGACAAAAAGAGGGCCCAGAAAATTTATGCTCGGTTTAATAAAATAAAGTTTGTTACCGAGCAGGGGTTGACCAACGTTTTTGGGCCAAACGGGTGCGAAGGTGGGTAGCTTTTTGGCACCCAAAAATAGCCCAGAAAGGGAAAACACCTCGATAGGATTTTTGTAGGGTTTGTACTGTGCCCGGCAGCAGTTTTGGGCCTGTTCATTGCCCGTAGGGTCGACATGCCCGGGGACCCCAAACAAAAAACAAATTTTTATTTTTTGGTGGAGATACGGCGTACCCCAAAGTTGGATGGGGAAAAACTAGGGGAGGTTTGTATAAAAATTTTGTTTTACCCTGTAGAGCACAAAGGGTAGTCGAGACCTACAAATGATGCCCAAAGGATAGATGTGATACAAAATAAGTCCCTGCAAGAAGGGCCTTTCAGTTCACAGTAAAAATGCTAGTTTGAAGTTAGTAAATGTCCCCGCACGAGGGCTGCCCAGAAACATGCGGGGGTTTCTGACCCCCCCGGTCTGAAGACTTAGGCCATCTGTGTCCCACAGCGATGGCATGAGAATGGGAGGGGAAGTGATAAAGAAAAAAAAGGAGGGGGAAGCCACCTTAGGCATTTGGGGTTTTCCCGAGAAAAGGGAGTGAAAAAGGGAACAGACCCAAACAGCGGGAACTTTCCCAGGGGGGAAAGGAAAAAGGTGGAGGGCTACATAAACATATAAAGGGGGTAACTGAAGGGAAGACAAGATTTGAATGTAGGCAAAGAAAAAAGGGGGACGGAGAAAAAAAGGGGGGGGGGGGGCGGCAAAACGAATAAAGAAGGTCATAAAAATCGGTGGCCCTTTCTATAAAGGGAAGGATTGTGTAAAATGTGAGAGTGTACATAGAAAGGAAAGGGCAATGGGAAAAAAACGGGGGATGGGACAAGGATGGAACTTTCGTTTCTGTATAGAGGCCCCTAAAAAGGGAAAAAGAGCAAAAAAATCCCAAGGCCCCCAAAGAAATTCCTTGGTGAGGATGATTTAAAGGGTAGAGGGGTTTTAGCAGGATTTGGCCCGGAATAAATCTGGCACCAAAATAAAGTTTCGATTAAAACGAGGGATGAATGTAGGCGAAGAAAAGTTCGACGATCAGCTCCGCGGGAAAGGTGAGAAAAGGGTTTTTAAAAAGGGTTTTTCCCGGTTTTTGTGACAATTTCCCTTTCAGAGGGTTATGTGGGGTTTTCCCAGGAAAAACCGAGGTCAAAGAGAAGGTTTAAAAACCCCGGGACTGTATCACGTTGGGGGGATAGGGGAAACCCCTTTAGAGAAAAAAGGGGAGGGATCGGCGTTTAACAGAGCTTTTAGTAAAAGTAATTTGGTGATTTTTTGGTACGGGAAAAAATTTTTAAACCCGGGGTGTGGTGGCCCAAGTGGAAAAAAACGGTGGGACCCGCATGCTGGAGGGGAAACTCCCCTTTAAAAAAGGAGGGACGGGTCGCGCCTGCACAAGAAATAGCGAGGTCTTTCAACATAAGAGTGATGACCAATTTTTGGGTGGAAGAAAAAGGGGCCCAAAATCATTTTTGGGAAAAAAGGAGGAAAAAGTGTTGTGTTTTAGAAAACACCCCTGGGGGACCCCTTTCCCAGTTTGGAAACCGAAGCCCGGGGAAAAAAAAAACATTATTGACTCAAACCGGGGGAAAAGTCTCCCAAAAAAAAAAAGTTTTTAAAGGAAGGATGGTAGATTCCCTTTGGGGCCTAAGGAAGGGGGCCGGGGCCCAAAATTTTTATACCTCCAAGTTGTGTAATTGCCTTCTCAAGGTTTCAAAAAAAAATGGCAATAACTGATTTGATTATTCCCCAAAGGCATTACAAAATACGTATCCAATGTTTTGAAAAGGGGTCTAGGGTTTAGAACGCCCTTTAGGGAAAGCCTTATTGACTAGCGGAGAGTTGTTGGGGGGTTCTAAAAAACCATTAAACGTCGTTTTTTCGGGGACGTTCCATAAATTTGAAAAAAAACTGCATAGTAAGGGGCGATGGGGCGATAATGGGAGGGCACTTGTCCTGTAAAACCGGTTTGGGGGAAAGGGGAGAACAAGGGGCAGTTTTCCCCAAAAGCTGGGGGAAGAATTTCCTTGGCCCAAAAAAGATT